CTTTAAATGATTTTATTACAGTTTTTTGCCGCATTTAAGTAAATCTGAATTGAATTTCATTCGATTTCAATTGATTTTAAAAGGAATTCTAATTCAATTTCAATTGATTCTAACGGGATCTTAATTCGAATTTAATTGATTTTAAGAGGAATGTTAATTAAATTCTAATTGGTTCTAACGGGATGTTAATTCGATTTTAATTGATTTTAAAATGAATTTAAGTTAAATTTTAAGTGATTCCAACGGGATTTTAATTCGATTGCAATTGATTCCAAAACCAATTCTATTTAAATTTCAACTGATTGTAACGGGATCTTAATTCGATTTCAATTGATTTTGAAAGGAATTCTAATTTCATTTCAATTGATTCTAACGGGATTTTAGACTTTAACTGATTTTAAAAAGGAAATTTATGTAAATTTCAATTGATTCTAACGGGACAGTAATTCGATTTTAATTGATTTTAAAAGGAATGCTAATTCAATTCTAATTGATTCTAACGGGATTTTAATTCGATGTAAATTGATTCTAAAAGGAACTTTAATTAAATCTCAATTGATTGTAACGGGATCTTAATTCGATTTTAATTGATTTTAAAAGGAATTTAAGCTAAATTTTAAGTGATTCCAACGGGATTTTAATTCGATTTCAATTGATTCCAAAAGGAATTTTATTTAAATTTCAATTGATTCTAACGGGATTTTTAATTCGATTTTAATTGATTTTAAAAGCAATTTAAAGGCGGCCCTACCGAATCCTTTCAATGAATATGCCCCCCTAATAATAAATAATTTCTGACCCCCCGGATTGTTTATTATTACGGGGGGGGTGGGGACGTCGTTTATTATTAGGGGGAAGCGATTAACTTAATTTGAATTCCTTAACAGCAACCCCGTAAAAGTGCAACCTGCGTCCGCTCGGCAAGACTGTCGCGCATGGCACGCATCAGGCCCAAACCCCAATCAAAACTCATTACCCCTGCCCTAGGGGCAACATGTTAATGATACTAGTGGTGAAAATACTCGTGCTACGAGTAGTACTCGTCGTCGTCCTCGTAGGAGGAGGAGGAATAAGAGGAGGAGTAGAAATAGGATAGGAGGAGGAGTCGCAGTAGTAGCAGCAGGAGTAGCAGCAGCAGTGGCAATAACAGTAGAAGTGACAGTACCAGTAGCACTAGCACAGGATCCATAGCAGTAGCAGCACCAACAGCAGCAGCAATGGTGCTACTGGTTCTAGCATTACAAATCACAATGTCAAACAAGTTCGCGTTCCTCACATCCCTTATCAATTGCTTTTCCTGGATGGAAGCCACAAAAAATGTCAGGTTTAGAGTTGAACGTGCATCCTCGACGCTAAGCCCCAATTCCCTAAACCTCAAGTAGTAGTTTCCCTTTGTTTTCCATTACTACTGTTACTATGTAGTCTCCAAATAATCCCTGGCGTCCTCTATCTCCTCTGCCTCTGTCTGACTGAGGCGACCTTTCAAACTGAAAGCCAAGAGAGCATTCATGACAAAGAGGGCGAGCGACACTTTCCTTAGGTGTTGGGCTCTTGGCGAAGGTTTGGGTGTCAGGCTCATGTCGGGATTTCATAGGGTCTAGGGTTTTCAAAAATTAAGGGTGCCTTTTGGGGGGTCAAGGGTTATGATATTTCGGGGGTCCAAAACTGGACTCCCCCTATTGAATGGAAACCACCATATGGAAGGTCCTGTATGCCCGTGTCACACTGCAATACTTTCAAGAAACAGCTTTTGCGATTGTTTGGTAGAGGTAGTCTACCTAGACCTCTATACCCTACAGCTATTTTTGGATACCTAGCTTTATGTCCAGTATCTCCTATATACAGAAGAAGCATCCCAACAAAGGATTTAGGGTAGTAAAAGGAACGAGGTATACCAAGAGAGGATCAAATCCCAGAGAGTGGGAAGTTTGAACATCCAGAAACCCTAAACCCTGATGCGACAGATAGGGCAGCAGACAGCTTGCACCAGCCTATGTAAGCTTAAGACTTAGGGATTTAGTGTTTGTGGTGAAGGCGTCAAAGGTCATGAATTTTGAGGTTGGAGGTGTAGGGAGGCTTCAGATGCAGGGCGTCACTGCGTCTTCTGATTGGGCTTACGCACCCTAAACCCTAAACCCTAACCCCTAACCCCTAAACCCCTAAACCCCAAACCCCAAACCCTAAACCCTTCTTCCAAACCAAAAGCTGGAGAAGGCCTCGGCCCTAAGCCTTGTTAGACCAGAAGGAAACCTTTAAAGCTCAATCTTCTCCTGGCGCCACAGAAGTACTCTTAGGGTTTAGGGTTTAGGGTTTAGGGTTTAGGGTTGAAAGGCCAAGGGTCCCCTTGACACTCTTGTAGCAGGAGATCGGGGTGTCAAAGGTCTCACTTTCTTGGAAGTTTGGATGAGCCTTGAGGTCAGGGCAGTGCTTGTCCCAAATGCCGCCAATGATCACACCTGCCACGGCCTTGGTGGCCGGTTACCATACCCCCGCTGCCCTGGAGAAACCATTCGAAATCGTGGTTGTACGATGACCACCGTAAAAGCTAGCGACAGAATTGCAGATCAGTGTTATAAAAACTTGCTGGCTACACCGCACAAAAAAAGTCAAAAAAGAAAAGACCTTGTTCGCACACCGGATTGCTGGCATGACGATGCTTGCGACCGCACCCAGGACTGCGGCACCTACACCAAGCGCGGCACAACTCCTGCCCCTGGCGCAACAAGTGCAGATGGAGGCGACGCAGAAGGTAAGAAGGGCAACAGGGTAGGTGACGTTCCACATGCCCTCCGCTTTGCCAATGCCCTCCATAAGCCCTTCGTAGTTGCATTGGCCAGTAGCTTCGGATGCCATGTGCTCCATGGTGTACCGCATGGGCCGCGCGCCCTTCACGATGCATGTCTGAGTCAGCAGCGTGGCACCTAGCCACATCATCATCTGCGTCCGCCGCATAATTATGGTCAATGGAAGAGGCGTTGTATTTTGGCAAACGGCGAGGAGCTGAAGCAACAAACAGCTGGCTGCGGAAGGAACGAGGCAAGCCTTTTCCTCCTGGCCTGCACGAAACATGAACCCAGGTTCAGCCCAAATGTACTACCAATCCACAGGACCCTTTCGGTAACTTGTTTTTCATGAGGCTGCTCGGTGCAAATATGACTCTGGACGCAAAGTCTCTTCAAATCCAGATGTGCTAAAGCGAACAAGCGTATGTTGGATGCAATGCGGTAGACAAGCATAACTTAGGTTGCCCCACCCACTACTGACCACAAGAAGTAATGGTATTTCTATTAGGGTCTATTAATGAGTGGGGACCCAACCCAAAGCATAACACATGTTCTCATACTGTACCGACCACTTCAGAGAGCAACTTCTGCACACGACCATCCTACAAAGCGGTACAGGACCCGAAGAGCCCGATGAGAAATACATGGCCTGATCTTAGCGTACGCAATAATTCTTAAAAATGAATGATAAGGAACAATCTCGCCTCATAACCGTTTTAAATTCATAGTATAAGACATCCCACAAGTCCCACAAGCCTGGTTTAGGCCACTACAGCAGCTGGAGTATCCTCCTGTGCCGCAAGGCTTTCATGCATGGGAGCCGACAAAAGGCCATGTCACAATCCACTGAAAAGAGGTCAACTTGTCGATCCATGTTTTTGGTGAGTAAGTATGTATGACACTCCTGCTGACGAACAACTTCATCTTGAAACAGCTTCACCGCACCAACTCCCAGGAATCATTGTCAGCAAGGCGTCCAAACTGCTGAGTGCGCCTTCTGCACTGCTTGCCGAACAGAAAACAAGCCTTAACCAGTACCACCTTCAAAACGCTTGCATGAAGCCCTGTTCACCCTAAACCCTAAGCCCTGCCTGAACCATGTGAGACACAAAAGGTGGAGGCCCCAAACCCCCCCAATACTATAGTCCTTATTATCGGGACCCCCCAAAAAAGGTACCCCCAATTTGGGGAAACCCTTTGCCTAAATGATTAACCCTAAGCCCTAAAAAACCCCTATAGAATTCTTATAGCCCTTTAAAGGTACCCCCACTTTGGGCAGACCCCCAATATTGTAGAATCTTAAACCCTAAACGAAGCTTTACCGTACACACTAAACCTCGTCTCTTTGGCTTGGGTTGCTGTCAAGGAACTTAGATTAAGTTAGGGTTTAGAGCTTAGGGCTTAGAGCTTAGGGCTTAGGGCTTAGGGTCAGGGTTAGGGTTTAGGGCTTAGGGTTTAGGGCTTAGGGTTAGGGCTTAGGGCTTAGGGGTTTAGGGTTTAGGGTACGTTAAAACCTTAACTAGATAGGGCGTATATTGGGGTTATACTGGGATAATGGGAAAGAAAATGGAAACTACTATTTAGGGGTTAAGGGTTTAGGGTTAAGGGCTGCTGTAATAGGGAAACGCTATGATGTACTATATACCCATATTATGCCCTAAACCCTAAACCCTAAACCCTCCTTCAAAGCAACCCAGTCGAGCAAACTCAGATCACGGCTGAAGCCCTCCTCCTTGCAGCACACGTTTAGGGGTTAGGATTTTAGGGTTTAGGGTTTAGGGTCTAGGGCTTGGTGTTCTGCTTATCTTACCCATGGTTAGCAGGGGATGAAGGAAGGGAAAAGAAAATGGAAACTATATATGTTATAAAACGATTCCATTCTTGGGGATTTTGTAAGGACTCCTGTCAGAATCCATCCAGCTATTTGGGAAATGCGCCTATGATGAAACACTGTAACGACTGTAAGGGAGTCCTTGGACAAGTGCGAGTGTCAACTGCAGTCAGCTTTATAACAAGCAGAACACTTAAACCTCAAACCCTGAACACTAGACCGCGCGGCTCATCGCCGTAAATCCTAAACCCTAAATGCAGAATCCCAAACCTTAAACCCTGAACCCTTAACCCTAAATGCTGAATCCCAAACCTTTAACCCTAAGTCCTTAACCCTAAATCCTCAACCCTAAGCTCTAACCATACTGAAAGAAGTTTGCCAACCTGCTGTCAACCCTACAGCCCTGAAACTCCAGGCGACGTTAAGACGCAGACCCCCAAAGGGATCCAAAACAGGTTTAGGGTTTAGGATCCAAAAGATAAGATAGATGTCGTAGAAGAAGTGAGATTGGGTTTATAGGAGCTTGGATTTAGGGATATAATGTAAGAAGCCCTCTGGGTATACTTGAAATATATGGGACTTCAGCACTACTCAATCTGATTAAAGCCAGGTGAAATCCAACTCAAATCGAAATACATTCATTTACTATCTACCTAAGTCAAGCCGAATCTGATTCAAATCGAATTCTAATTGAAACCTAACTACTAACGTCAGAAAAAAAAAGATGGGCCAGAAAATGGGAATTCCGCAGGAATTACGACGTAACTACGATGGATCCATATAGCCCTAAACCCTAAACCGCTTTTTGGATCCTGCAAGGCGTCTGGATAATTTTCTCGGAAGGATATACGAAGGGATAAACGATAAACGCGGTTTAGGGTTTAGGGTTGGGCTTTGGACACTCAAGCAGCGATCATTACCCTTGCTTCCACAACTACCGATAACTTGATGCTGGCAGACGCCCTTATTGTTCGTTCTCCCATTACCAGCACATCAATTTCTTCGAGCACTTCATAAACGAAAGTGCTGTGACCATGACTCCTGACGCTCCATGTCGCGAAACAGCAGCCAATTGGCTTGCGTACCAAAAGTTTTAAAGTCTAGGGGTTCAGGGGTTCAGGATTTCGGCTTTAGGGTCCTTGTTATTTTGGACTACACACATAACCGGACTCTGCCTTGCCAAATTCTGGCTATTTGCTGAACTGTGTTGGGCGAAAAACTCAAACTTATGTTTAGGACATCCCCAAGTAAAGCCTAGGCATGCGCCTCTAGAAGCCCCAGACCTAACATCTGAACTCCAAGGGGAACTCTGAGCCTAAACCACTACCTTATACTCTACATAATGATCGTGTTTGTCAGCCTCCTATTCCCACCCAATAACTGCTAGGAACTAATCCTGCACCTGAGGACGAACCCAAAAGCCCAAGCCCTAAACTCTGAACCTTAAACCCAAGTCCTGAAATCTGAACCTTAAACCCTGATTCGTAGACCCTGAAAACCAAAAGCTTGAAACACAAAATCCTAAACCTTAAACTTAGATGTCCAGCCCTTTCCTGATCCCTTAACCATTACCAGCCGATAAACTTCATGGCCTGCACGACCGCCTGCAGCTGGCGCTCGAAAAGCGCCGCGTACTCTTTGTGAAGCTCCGTCCTGAACTTCTGCCCTTGTGTATAGTCCCCCTTAAGTAGATAGAATATGGGGTATATGAGGATCTGATTATAATATACCGAAAGCCATATTCGATCTATGTAAGGGGGACTATAGGGCTTTAGGGTTTCGGGTTGAGGGTTCCGGGGAGACGTGAGCCCTAAAGGGTGTCAGGAACAGGGTTTTGGGGTTCCGAGTTAGGGTTTAGCGTTGGGTGCTGCCCCCTCCCAGTAACAGTCTATATTAGGGGTCCTATTAAGGGCTATATATACATATATAACCATATTATATTTATCATTTCAACTGTTCCTGAGTGGGGGCAGTACCCAAGGTTTAGGGTTTGGGGTTCAGGCAAAGAGCCACTCGGCAGACCTCAGGATAGCCCCAGCAGCTTGCCGTCATTAGGGACGTGGGAAGGGGTTCGTTATTAACCTTACACCCAAAAAACATTTCCAATAGTGCCGGGTTGGACTACAGCAACCTCTAAACCCTGAACCCTTGATCCTAAACCCTAAGCCCTGAGTCCCAAACCCTAAACCTTAAACCCTAAACCTTAAGCCCTGAGTCCCAAACCCTAAACCTTAAACCCTAAGTCCCAAACCCTAAACCCTACACCCTGTCCAGCGAAGCGGATGCGAGCCATCAAGGTTGGACTCCCGAAAGGCCGACGCGTGCGTCTGGATGAACTCATTGATCTGGATAGGGTTTAGTGGTTTAGGGTTTAGGGTTTAGTGGTTTAGGGTTTAGGGATCCTTTTTACATAAATATAAGGAATCCCATATCCCCAAAAAGTATAAAGGATCCCTAACATTGATCCAGTTTAGTGGTTTAGGGGGTTTAGGGGCTTAGGGGTTCAGGGATTTAGGGATTCAGGGTTTAGGGATTTTTGGTTTAGGGTTTAGGGGCTTAGGGGTTTAGGGTTTCGGCGTTTTGGGTTTTAGTGGTTTAGGGATTTAGGGTTTGGGGTTTGGGAGGGCCGCAGATTCATGCAGCGGAATATGGGCTAACCATTGGGTCGGAGATCATTCTTCCGGGTGTATCAAGGAAAATTCCCGACCCACTCTACCCTCTTAGGCAGCTAGCCATCGTGTAGATGTGGTACTGTAGATGAAAGAAGTCTTGCGCCGCCTAATAAAGCCTATACCCCAATAACTAATGTATTTTGGAAATCTTAAGTGGTGCAAGATTTCCTCCATCCACCGTATTACTCGCAAAACCATGAACAATTCTTGCCCGGGTTGACCCACTGTGAAAACTGTTTGCGACACAGGGGGGGGAACGTTTTTGCAGAATCTGATGCTGAAAGCTGGGCTGGTGCTATGGAAATTGACCTCTTTTTCTGGAAGAGTCGAAGAGTTGTCTTGGAATGATGTACATATTCTGTCACCTGAGATGGGAACCCTAAACCCTAAACCCTTAACCCTTAACCCTTAACCCTATGGTACTGCAGCTCCATGCATTCCCCCGGAACACCAACTTCTAAACTAAAGAAACTTAGGAACTTCTGCAAGGTCGGGTCTCTTAACGTGGTCCGTAGGCAAGGGGCACTAAACCCTAAACCCTAAGTAGTAGTTTCCATTGTATTTTCCATTATCCCAATATAACTCCCATATAACCCCAATATACTCCTGACCCTTCAAGGACCCCTCTAAACTGTAAATCCGAAACTCGAAACCAGTCTACGGGCCTCGGCTGCAAAAGGCGCCTCGCAGAAGCCTCTCGCAGGGGATCAGCAGGGTTGTTATAGCTCCTTGTGCCAACCTGTCAATCCAAGCTGAAAAGCGCTCACGCGCAGGAGTTCCGGCCAAAACACCAAAAAGGTCGCTAAACCCTAAACCCTAACCAAAAAGGTTAGGGTTTGGGGTTTAGGGCCTTTCAAATACCTACCAGGAGATCCTGGCTTACTGGGTTTAGAGTAGGGTTTAGGGGTTTAGGGGCATATAGAGGTTTAGGGGCTTAGGTTGCAGGAGTATAGTCTAAAGTTGAGCATCAGAATCAACAGGAGCTCGAGATGGGATCTGCTTCTCCTTTGCTGAATCTACCCTGGAGCCCTGCCAAAATATGAGCCATGTCTAAACTCCTTAAAGGGGGTTCTATAGAGTAGCATTATAGGACTTATTTTACAGGGATACCAGGAGTTTAGACGAAAGCTCATATGCTTCTGTTTATAGTGGCGTGGGATCAAGAAGGAAAAAGGAAGACCATTTTGGGGACATGAACCCCAATCCTCTGAACCCTAAACCGTAGATGCACTCCAAAACCCAGAACCTCAGATTTACCCGAAAGCCTTATACCCCGCCCCTAGTATAACCATGAGCCTCGGAGAAAAGGTGACAGCTGCCAATCCACCCGGCACGCGGCCGCCTTGAGGCAGCCACAATTTAGAGGATTTTGGGGCCAACGATATGAGTTGAAACTACGACAGTTCCTCACTCACTTGCTTTACTCAAGGCTTGGGTTTTAGACTCAGAGCATGCCTAAAAAGGATGGAATTAAGCATCCTAACAGTTGTATATGAGCTATAGTATAAACTCCTAGTATCCCCCTTAATAACCCCTATAGTAGTCCCCTATAGAATCCCCTATATATCCCCCTTTAAGGAGTTTAGATTATAGCTCATATAGGGCTATTTAGGAGTGTTACCCCAATAATGGAGAATCAGATGGAGAATGAAATCGAAGTAGACCTGGCCAACTGATCTGTTCCGCATCGAACCGAAAAGAAGCGAAAAGAGTCCCCGTATAGAAGAACGTGATAAGGCCCCTCCTCTTCGAGCCCAACCGAAGAGACTTCGCTAAGACTGTGGGATTGGGTTTAGGGTTTAGGGGTGCGGAGGCTTAAACCTTAAGCTCACCTCACAACCTTGAGGCTTGTGGGCACATACAGACTTACACCGTAGGCCCCCACCTCAAGTGCGACGAGCCCCAGAGAGACAGAGGAATCCCCCCGGATAGTGGATCCCCTTTATCTAGGGTTTAGGATAGAAGGTTTAGGATTTAGGGTTTAGGGTTTAAGGCTTAGGGATCTTAAACTATGAGACTACAACACTACACCCTAAATCGTGAGTCCTTAACCCTAAACCCTCAACCCTAAACCCCCAAAACCCCAAACCCAAAGCCCCCCAAACCCGCGCCTCATTCATACCAGGGCGCGCGGGGGAGACATGCTGGCTGTCAGCAACATTGGCTCGCAGGGTCTTCCGATATTTGGGTATAAGGCTTTCGGAGGGGTTGGGGTGTAGGTCACAGGGTTGATGGGTTTAGGGTTTAGGGTTTAGGGTTTAGGGCTCGATGGTTACCCTAAATTCTAAACCCCTGAACCATAGGGGGTTTAGGGTTTAGGGCTTAGGCTATTCTGGCTCCCTCGAGATTTGGGGCTTGTTCTGCACGCCAGAAGCAAACCACTCCCAATCTAAACCTTCAAATGCAGTCCGTAGTTGCGCTGTAACCTTGGAAGCATCGAGTCGCCATTCAGCAGACAGCATCCCAAGTTTCCCAGACTTAAATTGGCAGAATTCGCGGTTTAGGGTTTAGGGTATAGGGTTGAACTCAAGGACGACATGATGATGGTGAAGGAGTTGTTCTTAGAATCAATCCTCTGTGCTTTCTCCAGGCATCAAGCATGTCAACGGCGTCTCTTCCTGAATCTTCTATGAAGGTCTGGAGACCTGGGAAATCCAAGTGACCTCAGCTGTTAGATTTTGAGCTGCGCACGCGATTGGGGGACTAGAATGATTAGAATTAGGTGGACCCCTCACCCAGTAATACTGACTATAAGGAATAATAAGGAAAATATTAGGGCCCTCTCATATTCCTATTATACCCACTATTACAGGGAGGGGGGTCCTCCTAAAGCAACAAGGTTAGCCCACCGAATGTCATGGGGCTCTGAGGCGGAGGGTTGCGAGGGTTTAGGGTTTAGGGTGTAGGGTTTCAAAACACTGACACCGGAATCTACAGCTGTCCTGGGCCATCCGGTGTTCAGGGCTTCGGGTTTCGGATCTTGAGTTTAGCTTCTAGGGCTCAAGGTTTAGGCGTAGGGTTTATGGAGACATCGAAGATGCAAAAAATCTTAAGCACTGAACCCTAAACCCTAAACCCTAAACCGCGCGGGGGATGGTTTGGGACATATGTCTGGGCCTGCATTTGAACCAGACAGCTGCGGTGCTATCTGTTTCCAGGAAAGGAAGAGCTCAGCAATGTACCCTCTGAACAGTTTCGGATTTAGGGTGTAGAGCCAAGAATTTGGGGCCCCCTTGGGAGCCCCTTTGCAGAAGGATATGATATGAGCATATGTGGATCTACATTGAGTGCCCCTTCTTATGAAAAGCCCTGCATAGAAAGGCCGTCATGGCGGAGGAGCTTACGGCTAGACTGAATTTCCACCTTTTTTTAGTTGAACTCATTGCTCAGGGATGACGAAAGAAGACTTGGAACGTGGGACCTGCGTCGTTTGGTTTAGGGCTTTCGGGCGCGAGAATACATCACCTTCAATGCGGGTTGCCGTGCAAATGGTTTGCATGTGTCAAAGCGTGCATGGTTGCTTGTCATTCACCATCTTGTTATTCGTCTTCATCTGTGCTCATCATCATCATCATCACCATCATCATCCTCATCGTCGTCATCATCAGCATCATCAGCATCATCATCATCGTCATCATCATCATCATTACCAACATCATCATCATCATCATCATCATTCATCATCATTCATCATCATTCATCATGTGCACGGATGCTGCATTCTGCTCAAGTTCACGGCATGCAGTGTGGGCAAGGAGATCGAAACGAGCGTGATTCTGTGGACGTGCATAGTTACTCTGTGGACTTGCACACTTCGTGTCACCACGTCTTCTCTTCTGTCAAACCAGTAGTGACATTGCATACACATGCAAGCTGCAGCTTGTGTGAGTACCACGGATCATTCATCGTGCAAGAAGCACGCAGTACCATCTCTGCATCAAGCATGAGCCCAAACTATTACCTTTACCAGTATTATTCTACTATATTTATATATTACTATATTACTATAAAATACTATACTACTATGTTAACATTATTACTATTACCATGACTATCACTATATTACTATAAGCACTTGTAAGGATGGTAGTGGGAAGTTCTGGAGCATGAGGGCCACTGTCGCAGCGGCATGCAATACTCTCCCATAGGTTTTATGGTTTAGCATTTAGGGTCTAGGTTGGGTACTGCCCCCACCCAGTAACAGTCTATATTAGGGGTCCTATTAAGGGCTATATATACCCATATTATAAGTATTATCCAACTGTTACTGAGGGGGGCGCAGTATCCAAGGTTTATCGCAAATTCTGCAAAACCCAGACACCAGTAGGGAAAAATGACAATTCCCCGGCATGCCGCGGCCTCGAGGCTGCAGATGAAGGCATAGCCAAACCTGATCTCAACCGCTGGGGATTGGGGCTTAGGGTTTAGGGTTTAGGGGTTTAGGGTTTAGGGGCTTTTGGTTAGAGTAATGGAGAATGAAATGGGGAAAGTGGGGTCAGCCCTAATTTAGGGCCTGTTTGATTGGAAAGAGGTTCAGGATCGTAGCTATATAAAGAGTGCAGGGGAGTGCTGGTAAAGATTTAGGCTTTTAGGGTTTAGGGTTTAGGGTTTAGGGTTTAGGGTTTCACCCTAAATCCCTAAATCCCTAAACCCCAAATCCCTCAGACCATTAGCCTCAGGAGAACACCTTGAGAACCGGCTGACCCTGTCATCATAAGAACCTATCCCCCCCAAAAGAGGCCCCCGCAAGGTTTAGGGTTTAAGGAGCTAATAAGTAGTGGGTTCTAAATCTGGTGACGGTATTTGGGGGACAGGGGTAACATTATAAGTCTAAACCCTAAACCCCTACTTCTAAATCATTCGGTACCTAGGAGTCCTGTCCTGACATGCCCAAAGCCGAAGCTAAATCTCCATCAGGGCTTAGGGCTTAGGGAACAGAAAGGGAGTACTGTGTTCTGGAGGTGTCTACAAACGGGATACAATAGGGACGCGGTCTAGGATTTAGGGATATGTAGGTTTATCTGCGAGATCCACCTTAGGTGGAGCTTTTCATCCCCCAGTTGGTCTGAAATAACTTTGGGTTCGGCTATAACCTCGCTACCCCCCCTAAAGTCTCCCCTCAATTACCTTTAATGAAGCCTAAGTAAGCCCAACTAAAATGGTTAGGAGTTAGGAGAACCCATAAAACGATTGTTCATTGATCTGAGCAGCTCAATCATCTCTTCAGCATCGCTGAACTGCCTGAGATTTGGAAGTCAAATCTTGGCTTAGTGGTGCTTCGTAAGGAATAAAGGAACATAATCCCAATATCATCCAAATATCATCCCCATGTACTCCCTATCTGGACCCTATATACTTCCTATTTAATCCCCATGCAACATATTCCTTTATTCCCTGTTTGCTGGGGTTTAAGGTTTCGGGGTTCCAGTTGGCTTTAGGGTTTAGGGTTCTGGGGGTTCGGGTTTAGGGCTCATAGGGTATAGGGTTTAGGGATTAGGGTTCTGGGGTTTAGGGTGCCTGGGGTTTAGGGTTTAGGGCTCATAGGGTTTAGGGTTGAGGGAGTGGGGGTCAGGATGCCTGGGCTCACATTCAAAGCTTCTGTGGGGTTTGAGGTGACCCTCAAAGACTGTCCCAAACGAACCTTAGCCCCTAGAACAACCCTATGAAGACGACAGTCCTTCGCTAAGTTTTTGGAGTGTTTTTTCTGCTGAGGGTCTGGATGTCAGGCAAACATGCTGCGGCGATTTGAAGAATCCACAAAGCAAGGTTACAAGCTTCAGACGACAAAAAACTGGGTCTGCTCACAAAGCGCCAACCTCAAGTGACCCTCTGATTTGTGGGTCGGTCACCCTTCCTACCACAAGTGCCAGCGTTTAGATGAGCTATAATCTAAACTCCTAGTATCCCCCTTGTAACCCCATAGTAGTCCCCTATATAACCCCTCTCTAAACAGGTTAGATCGTAGCTCAAATGAACATCCTAAACCCTAAAGCCTAATCCTATAAACCCTAAACCCCAAAACCAGAATAGGATTCATCCTACCCCTTCTCCCCGCCTCTGCATGTGGTGGTGGAGCTCCGTATGCATGGTCTGGGTGTTTAGGTCCGGCGGTGCCTGAACTAGGGCTTAGGGTTTAGGGTTTAGGGTTTTAGGTGCGCCTGAAGTAGAAAATGCGGCAGAAACTTATCTCAGGAGATCTAAGTTCTCTCAAACAACAGAATCCCCACATATGAGTGGTTTCCCAAAATTATGGGTACCTTTTTTGGGGGGTCCCTATAATAAGGACTACAGATATTGGGGCCGATATTGCGGTCCCCCTATTTAGGGAGTCATCTATGCTTCCAACCTAATATGGTTTAGGGTTGAGGGTAGATGGTCACGACTATGGCACCCCTGTGAGGACTCTGAATATCAGGGGCCGCAATATACTCGGGACCCCGAAACCAGGACTGCGATTTTGACAGCCTACCATGTGAGTAGCGATTTTTTGGCGGTTGAACCTAGTAAGATTGTATTCCTTGTATAAAATACTATACCCCAAAAGGAGGATATAATCTTACTCTGTAATGGGTACCACAGAATCCCCAAATAAAATACTACACGAATAACCCCCATATAATCCCAGTTTCCATTTCATTTTCCATTTTCTTTTCCATTTGATTCTCCATTATTAGGGTAATATTGGGTACCATAGTATCCCCAAATAAAATACTACCATCTAGCCTTTGTAGCTGGCAAGGTATCCACCACGGGAAGAAATGCAAGGAGGATGAAGCATCCTCCCAGAATCGCCCACAACTGACACGGAACCCCGAAATACATCACTTCCCTCAGAGAAAATGGGGCTTCAACCCCTAAGCCCTAAACCTGTAACCCTAACCCCTAAATCCCTAAACCCTAAACCCTACAGCCTAAATCCCTAAGCCCTAAACCCCTAAACCCTAGACCCCTAAACCCTCAAGCCTAAATCCCTAAGCCCTAAACCCCAAACCCTAAACCCCCCAAACCCTAAACCCCTAAACCCTAGACCTTAACCTTCATTTTGGCTCGGTCAAAAACAGCTATCGGCGGAGTAGGGCTCGGGGCTTGAAGGTCCGGGACGCGAGCTTCGCAGGCTTGG